GCTGGAGTCCCCGGGCGGCACCCGCCTCGCCGCTTCAACGCTCCCGTGGGCTTCCAGCAGCAGCCGGGGCAAGCCCAGCCCCGGCGCTGAGGCGACCTCCCCTTCCCGGGAGCGCTCTAACTTTTTCACCGGGCTCTTACGTGGGGTAGACAAAAGGCTTTTTTTTCGTTTTCTTAAAGCAAACATGTTCGTCAGCTGGGCTGCCAACCCCGTCTCCAACGGCAGGGCTGGGGGCTGTAAGGCGGCAGGAGGGGGGCGCCCTCGCCGCTGGTGCTCCTCAGCGGTGTGTGCTGGTGGGCTCGGTGCTCAAGGGCTGCGTTAAGTTGAGCTTGAATTTGCAACTCAAGGCTTTAATTGCGATCCTTACCTATGTAATGCGTGTATTTCCAGGAGAAGACTTTGGTTTGGAAGTGAGTAAATAGTAAAATTACTTGTCGCAACGCATCAGTCAGTGTTAAGTAACTCGTTACCTCAGCAATGACGACTTGTCGTTTTTAGTAGTCATCATTGGCAAGTGTGCGTTCAACAGTATCCCATGGTAGCCAAAAGTACTAAATAGACTGTAGGCCCGTTGTAACTGTCATGTAGCTTCGTTTTCTATTGGCTTTGTCCTCTAGGCATCTTCACTATGTCCTGCTTTTCTGCATGTTTGTTGTAGGCTAAACTGCATTAAAAGGTGGTGGTGGGGAGAAGATCCCATAAAGTTCCTTGGGAAAAGGCCAAAGATGGGTGTTGTAGGAGCAGTCAGTGCCACTGCTCTGCTGGAGGATGAACCCAAGAGTCTTGTTTTCCCATTCAGAAGGCTCATGGTAGAATAACTATGATGTAACAAAGACTAACCAGGATAATGGTTGTGAGAACTTATCTTTTCTCCAGACATCTTGTAATGACAATAGTCTCTGCTACAGTATCTTCAATATTGCTTGTAGATGCTGATTATTTTCCTAAGTCCTTCCTTATTGCTCTGTTTGGAATGTACTGGATGATTAATAATTCTCTGGGATAATTGCTTGTTAATGTATTTGATCTTAGTTAGATAGGCAGAAAATAATGGACAGTCTCTGGGTGGTTGGTTATTCATAATTAGGCACCAAACTGTGAACTTCTGAATAATTATTCATTAATAGAAAAGAGTAAGTGTCCCCTGTGGAACCAGGAGTAAATGTGTAGTTGATGGAAGTGGTATTTACTATCTGTGGTGATTAAGAATGCTTGAAACCAAGCTGATGGGTGTTTGCAATGTTTGAATAATTTTGTATACCTTCAGTACTTTCATTCAGAAAACAAATAAAAAGTCTATAGAAAATACGTATTCAACATGTATAATATACAGCATATATATATAAATATGCATGAAAAAGATACGTTTAAGAACTACTCCACTTCTTTCCAGTGAATAGAGAATATCACAACACCCCCCCACCATAGGCAATCCTCCCTCCCCCCAACAAAACAATCCAAATGTCAACAATACGGATTTTTCTTTGCTATGAAAACAAAGCTATGGGAACATCAGTTCCTTTCTTTTCCATGACTTCATCTCTCCTGTTGTTGAATGGATGCTTACTTGTGGCAAACTAAGAAGTGACTGCCATAAGAAGAAATGAAATGATAAGGAACTGTGCTCAAATAAAACTCCCAGTCAGAAGTAATTGTGTCAGTTCCAGAACACAGTCCATCGAGTAATTTAGAAGTACTGCTCTGGGTGTAGAGTTTGTGAAGTTAACTGAGGTGAGCCTCTGGCGCAGTTAAGCAGCACAGGTTTTCCAGCATGATGCAAAGGCTGGTTTTGTGATTTTGTTACGTTGTTGAGTTACAATGTGCATTTACAGCACGTTTGATATGCTGTTGTAAGAATAATGGAGCTTTTAAAGTGTTTTACCTCACCCTTCAGTGTGTCCAAGTGTCAGCACTCACAGATGTGAAGTTGTGAAATGTTTGCTGTGGAGAACCATTTCTGTCTATCAACAAATCTAAACAAGATCTTTGTATATACATACTTTCTCATCTGCATCAATCTTGATACTTAGAATCATAGAACAGTTTGGGTTGGAAGGGACCTTAAAGATCATCCAGTTCCACCCCCCCTGCCATGGGCAGGGACCCCTTCCACTAGACCAGGTTGCTCCAAGCCTCGTCCAGCCTGGCCTTGGACACTTCCAGGGATGGGGCATCCACAGCTTCTCTGGGCAACCTGTCCCAGTGTCTCACCACCCTCTCTGTGAAGAATTTCTTCCTGATATCTAATCTAACCCTCCCTGTTTTCAATTTGTATCCGTTACCCCTTGTCCTATCACTACAGGCTCTTGTAAAAAGTCCTCTCCCAGCACCCTTGTAGAAAAACATATATGAATTCTGGACCCTCTTCTTGAAGGGGATGCACCCTTCTCCATCAAAAAACATATCCAGCAATGACATCTCATCTTTGCTAGAGTAAAATTTCAAGTATTGTATGCTACCTTCAATAAAAGAAAGCCCAAAGGTCCTAGTCTTAAAATACAAGAATGTAATCACAGCCTGCAGTAAAATACTCTCAGATGAGATTACAGCATCATTTGGGTGGAAATATTCTTTCTCTTTAGAACTTTAAAGTTTAAATGGAGTTTAAAAGGAAGTCAGTTCTTTCTTGTGTGCTTTGTAGAAACTACATTAATGATCTTTGGTATTTACTGTATTGTTATAAGTGTTTTAATAGTTGTAATTTTTAATAGTCTTAATTATTGCAGATATAAATTTTACATGTGATCTGAGGGTGTCGGGAGCCTTCATTACAAGGAAAAAACCCAACAAGTAGCACTTCTGTACCTAAGGATTATTTGTTGAGAGAAAAAGCTCATGTGCCTGTACCACAGGACTGAGGTTGGTGCTGGCTATATAAAAGTGCATCTACTTCCTTTGAGTGTATTATACTGGATTTTTTTAAATAGGGAGAAGAGTGGATAACTACCATGGATAATGAAATGCTAGCAGGAGATTTTGATGATGAGAACAGGCAAGAGAAAAATACTCCACTTACAAATTCTTAAGTCTTTCAATTGAATAATATAATTTATTATACAAGCAAAATACCAACAGAAACTAGTTTGGATTCTCCATTTCACTTTTTCCATGATGATCACTTATATAACAATTTTATCTCCAAGTAACATTGGAGTATGAATCAGAATGAGGCATTAAACTCACAACCTGTGTTCTTCAGCTATTGCTTCTGTGTACATGTATCTGGAATGAATCTTGGCTTAACATCTGCCACGTCAATATTCTATATCTCAAATTCCCACACCACAATTTTAATATACGTAACCTACGTAATATAGATGCAGTGTTTGGGCATGACTGCAATACTCCGTACACGGAATTCAATGGATACAATTAAAAAATGATGTATAGCAGTGCCGAAGACTTTTGCGCCACTTTTGGAAAAATCTCAGTTGAAGTTAGTTCTAATAAAATACAAAAATATCTATCGGCAGAAGATCAATACCTCTGCACTGGAGAAAGGGGGCAATTGGGGAAAGGAATCCTCAGTTCATCGTGTTCCACTGTAAACATATCCATTACCATACAAATGCAGCTCGCTCTCGTAACATTCTGACACCAAAGCGCTGCCATTCCCGCTGATATATCCACAGTTCCTGCGTTGTATCGAGACAGGCTAAAACTGCACCTCCTTTCCACGCAATTAAGCGGGGATCCATATCCTAAATTCAAAACACAGATTGTACACAATCACTGGTGTAAATGTGCGTATTTCTCAAAACGTGTATCCTAATTTTCCCAACAGTATTCACCACTTATAATCTCAGGAGTGAGGAAAGGAGAAAAGAAGTTTTTCAAAATTACGTAGGAAAAAACAGTGAGATAAAAATATGGAAAGACTATTTAAGGGGTTTAGAGAAGTCACTTTTTTTTTTTTTTTTAAAAAAGATGCCTTCCAGGCATGTAATTAAAATCCTGCCCTCAGCAATGGAAGCTCTGAAAAGCCTGAATATCTGAAAAATACTCAGGTTTTGATTCTACAAATTTTGCCTGATTTAACCCCAAATGAAAATTGCTCTTTTAATGCCTTACTTTCTTTTACCTTAATAGTAATAAAAAACCCTAACACAATTTCTTGCTGAGCAGACAGGTTAACTTCACGGGCCAGTACTAACTGCCTCTTTAAGAATACAGCCTTTAGCTAAGAAACACTGCCATGATCAATACTAGGAACACTCCACACCTCTAACTTCCTGCCTATAACTGGAGATGGCTCTGTTACGAGCTGAAAGTTCTCCTAAATCTCCTCAGACATGCAACTGTATATTTCAGAGAACATACATTTTTTTTAATCTTTTGAAGATTTCAACCAATCACAGTTTATTAACCCTTTAGCTACCAGTTAACAGTATACCTTAGGTCTTGTGATGACTTCAACATTTTCAACGACTCTTCTAAAAGAAGGTGGCATTTTGTTGAGAATTCGGTGTTGAAGAAACTCTTGAGCTTTATGAAACATAAGGCCTCCTCCCACTACTAAGATGGAGCTGTACATCTTCTTTTTTGTGTCATCAGATGCTGGAATGAATGGATATATAGAAACTTATCTGTTTTTTTAATGTTAATACAGTCTGTATTTGTATTATGAAGAATTTAGTGCAAGTCAAACCAGACAGAAACTGGTGTTTGCTTTAAAGTTCTTTTCCTTGGAGATTCAAATGTCTAGCTCAAGAAACCTCTACAAAGATGCAAGTATAAGGAACAATGTAGCTACTCCAGGGATGATGACAACTTAGAGACATACATGTTAGTTTGGTAATACAGGAGTTACCATAAATCCACACTGACACGCATGCTTTACAGAAGTTCCCAAATGTAATTCTTACCACAGCAGTCAATACTGTGAAGAATGGCTTTATCAAGCCCTAAGGCTTTGCCTTCAAACTGAGAAATAGCTGTTTTCCTGGACATGTGTGCAGTTAAAGGTTCCTCTGAATCATTTCCAGATATCATACAATCACTCTGGGAAGATCCCAGTTCCACTTCCTGTGGGTAGATCCTCTCTGAAGCATCGGAGGCTTGGCCTCTCAAATCTCCCTCAAATGCGCCAGGCTTCGACATAGATTTTCTATCAGCTGTCGCTTTTGCAGACTTAAAAAGGAGAAAACAAGTTGAACTATGAAAAAGATCTTCAGCAGGTTACAGACCTAAAGACTTAACTAAATACCACAGTACTTGTTGTCACCTTTTTGCACAGAAAGGTTAGGCACTGTATTATTTCATTTTAAGCCTCATTTTCAAAGTAAGGGCTTTATTTTAAATTCCATCAGTTTTATCAATACCATAATATGAAGCCCTCTTAGACTCTGAAAATAAACAGTTCTAATTAAGGATTTGTCCAGACATACGTCATTCCTTAGTCTACATTTATTTTTTAATGCTTCTGGCCCAGATAACAAACTTTGGTTTCTGATACATTATTGAGTCTCGATTTTATTCCCCAATTAAATAATACTTAATGAAAAGTAAAAGGAGCATTCACACACCTGTTCCTGCTTACTTTGTGTGGCTAGCAGATAATGTTCATCATGAGGGTCCTCAGGGTCACCTTGTGACCTATGTTGCAAAGTTGTCATTTTTTGTCCAACAATTCCAAAAGTTGCTGGATAAAACAGAGCCATTGGAGCCTGAAGAATGAGGTATTTGACATGGTTATAAATAAGTACTCAAATGCAGTTTGTTACAAAATTAGAAAACTCAATGGTGAGGCGAAAAACTTGCAAAATTAGCATTTATTCCTTGCCCTTGAAAGATAAATACCATCATATGTAGTTGAAGCTACAACCATTCTGGCTAAAGCTAGTTAGGAAGTCTTGTGCACCCACTAGTGCTTCAGTAGTCCCATTCATACATACAGGGATCAATTTTAAAACTATCAACAAGCACAAGATGGACTGTTAAGAACAATCCATAAGTTATGTGGGCTTAGTAGCACTGGACTGATACGAAGTGACGCTCTGGCCTAAATACTGAATATAATTCTTCTAATTAAAAAAACACCAAACAGCACCAAGCCAACAAAACAAACAAACATAAACCCCAAAACCAACCAACCAACACAACTAACCTGCAAACCAACCAACCAACCCCATCCACCCCTGAAAAAATATATATTAAAAAAAACCAACCAACGAACCAAAACAAAACAAAAACCCCAAACCCAAAATCACCTGTAATTTTTCATCTCCTAATCGGAACTGGTATAATAAAGCTGGAGAATCCGGATGACGAATCTGGAACTCATGGTCTTGCAATCCAGAAATATCCTAAGGTTAAAACCAATGTAAAAACCCCTGTATCTTTTATACCTCTCTATCAAGATGCATAATCTATTTAAACTCTAGGAAATAACAAAAAGTAAAAAACTCTTCAGATGGTGAATTTCATTTACCTATTCTCAAACTCTTTTCAAAGCTTTTCCTTATAACAGTCTGCCAAAACAGCTTTCTACATGCCTAAGCCTCTAATATGAGGGTTTGTGTAGACAGAAGAGACCTTACAAAACTGAAGTTGAAAAACAGCAAATATGCAGGTACTATCAGCTTCTTTCAGCAATAAGAACAAAGAAACTACCTTTCTAAGAGTTGGGATTCTTTCAACTCGAAGAAAAATAAAACAAGTTAAAAATACTTCAAGTCTAAAGCTCCTCCAGCTTTTGCCAGTATTCTATCAAATATAACATTTTATTCCATTCACAAGCAATTCTAGACTTGCAGAAGAGTTCCCCAGACTAGCATTCTGTAAAGAAAAAAACAAATTACTTGGAGAATATACCATTTTCCCTTCTCACCTGGTCTAGATGACAAAATGTCTCCTTTAAGTGCTGAAGCAGCAGGCAATCCAACTTATTAGTTAACTGACAGTCTCTATATGGGAATCCTGCTCGTTGCATAAGCCAATAAAAACACCTTGACACATCAGATCCTCCATATGCAAGGCACAGCCTAAAGCACAGGGAAGAAAAATGTTGTTTTATTAATTTGCTGAAATACTGGCCTTTACCGTAGCATGCACAGGAACACAGGCAATATTTGAGACATGCTGTGATCATGATTTCCACAGTTTGCAGAGCTCTGTATCAGTTCTGCCTGTTCTCTTCTTTCAGAAATGTCAGAAGTGTTTAAGGTTCACAGTGTAACATGATGACCCTGTCACACACCTCATAGTAAAAAAACCCTTGTATTTGTAAAAAAAAAAAAAAGTCTTGTTTTTAAAGTCAAGTCTTTGGTAACCAACTAAGTACATGCTTATAGTAATTCTGCATATTAAAAGATACCTGGTGTTGCGATGGGAAACACCATCTTCTACACAGCAAACGCTTGTCTTCTGATCTCCCACATCCACTATACACGCGCTGCTTAAACCACTTCCAAAAGTAGCACAGACAGACTCCTGGTGTACAATAATTCCTAACAACATGAAAAAAAAATATATCCAATTTATGCCAAGCTTCAGAGCCATGCTGCTGACATTTAAAGGACATTTTAATGCATTTTAAAATCTACTAATAGCCTGACGCTGCACTGGAAGTTTGTCTATTTAGTGAAGATGGGGTGGGGGGGACTTACAGATTTTTTTTGTTGAGTAGGCCCTTAAAGTCCTGAGGAAAGGAAAGAGCAGGGTGAATGCCTATATTCAAATGTTTTTATTTTTTGCAAGTTTAAAGATACTGCCTCCAGACTTTACTTGTTTTTTGTAACCAGAACTGCAGACTCTTGGTTATCAGATGCACATGAAGCATCCTAATTTTTTTCTAGTTTAAATCAAACATCATGACCATTAGTATTTTAGATACATTCTTTAAGTAGTTATAAAACAATGTCCAATTTCACTGTCTGCTTTCCTTTCAATCCACCTTTAACTCCGTAGTAGACTACCTTTGTATCACAAGCCCATACCTAAACCTGAGAAGTCCTGGAGGCTTTAGTCTGTCCTAGCCAGTGAAGGAGAAGAATAGCTCAATTGAGCTGTGCTTTGTAGACAAGAACTAAGTGGAGTTACCTTTTTAAGGGCAACTGTTTTTAAATAGATTAAGAGAATTTAGTTATGCTGAACAACTAGTTCAGCTCTTCACCAAATTATTGGGAAGAGTTAACTCTGGAGAGTTAATGATACTTTCTGATTTCCCTTTCAGATGAATATGAAGCTTTGTATTTTTTAAATTAGTATTCTTCCGGTTCCTTTGAAGCTAACAAACTTCAACTGAAAATTCTTCTAGCCTAATGCCAGGATGTTTTTATGTAGTAGTATTATTAAGTACTGTTCACATTACTTTTGTGTAAAAACTGAGGAGGAATCAAACAAAATATGGTTTAGACCCATTCTGATCAAAAGCTAAAACTAACAGCCAAAATGGCTTGTTCATTTTAACACAATGGAACAAATCAAATATATACGTGCATGTGAACAAAATTTAGATCTCATGAGATCAGTCTCTCTCTCTCTGCAGTGTTTATTTACCACCTACCTAAATCTTTCAGATGTGAAGCACTAACATTGAAGCACATATTCTGCTGGGAGTAATACTCTGGAACTGTTTGCACTTCGTACTGATTAATTATTCAACAACAGCACTGTTAATCTCCAACATCTTACAATTAACTTACTGTTTGACTAGTGTCTACTATTTAACTTACTATTCTTGATCACTTTTTAGGCCTCTTTCATTGTACCTAATTCAAAAAAGGACTTGGCAGCACCAAGGGTACTACTCTGATGATTTCAAACAAAGTATTATCCATATGGTTGGGTTACTGTGCCTTCCGTAATGACCTGCTGTGGTTTCTCTACATGTGGAATCAGAAAAAGATGGCTAAGACTACAGCAGTTCTTTCCCAAAGAGTAGCTAGAAACTTCCAGCAGTTTAACTGAAACAAAACTGCATGACTCTCATCAATTACTTGGTTATTTTTTAAAAATTGTATTGCTTTTCTATATTTAGTGCATGCAATTAAGCAACTCTGAAGCCTCCTATTATGTCACCCTGCAGAGAGGACAGTAGCAGCATCTTACATCATCATATACTTTTGTTTTGAAATATAAGGATCTTAATACTTTGTGGAGTTAACATTGTGCATTTTCGAAATACCTGAGAAATCAGACTGTTGCTATTTTTTTCTCAGCTGAAGTGAGAAGCCCCTGGTTAGAAATAATAGCAAACCACAAAACTTGTTTCAATGCTAGCCAACCATTTTGCCCCATGAAAAGTTATGGGACTAGCAGAAGATGAAAGGTTCTTGTCCCAGACAAACTGGGACTGATGTGCAAAAACGTGCCTTAAAGGTAAAAAAAAAAAAAACTTCTATCATTAAGTGCTTGCTTATGTATGGTTTTACCTGAGAAGCCCATCTTCATTAGGATCATATTTACCAGTTCTTTCACATGTTGTTTATTATAGATGTCTGGAATTAGTAAAATGCATCTGTAGTACTGAAGATAAGAACAGGAAATTAAAGCCAGCTCTTAAATTAAGTTTCTCCTTTCATTCTTGAATTCAAGGAGAAGAAATGACACAAGTATTAGGCACCCATTCCTCAGTTGCTTCCTTTTTAGTCAACCACGGAATCCCAGATTAAGACAGAAATTTCTATAATGGGATTTCCAGACCTCCTTGGTAGAGGTTCTACTAACAATTTTTGTGTTAGAGACATGCACAAAATTCCAAAGGAATCCTGAGGAACCATGCTTACCACCATAAGTAATTTATTCCTTAAGAAAACCACCAGTAAGAGGCCAGCAATACCAGGTTGCTTCTCTTTTATAGTAACGTTTTCAGAAGTGGCTACAGCCCACATTAATGTGTTCACAGCTCACCTTTAAGTCTTTCAATGGTATTTCCAGATATTTTTGTATCGCATGTGACCATATGACTTCAAGGTCTGCTAATACTGCAGTGAGGGAGCCACCGGGTCCCGTATGGAGATTCAACTGCCCTCTTCTAATCGGCCAATGTATATTATAGGAATCTAGTGGATTAACATACAGTGCCTGAAAATAAGAGACAATGTTCTATGCATTGTTTTTCCCAAAAGAGTAGTAATAAATGCTAGAAAAATATTGCAGAAGCAGACACAAGACATCCAGCAGCACTCAGACCAATGCGACAGCAATACAGGGGATTTCTTTTTAACAGGGCTTGATTATAAAGCAATAAAATAAAAAATACATTAAATACATGACTTAAAACGTTTGAATTTTCACACCCATGGACATCTACTACAAACATAACTGTATGTGCTGGGTTCAGCCAGG